GGGGGGGGGGGGGGATGTCAGCCGCGGCACCACCTCCGCGTCGTACTTCGCGTGGACTGTCGTAACCGCCCGGCCGGAGACGCTTCGAGAGGAAGGGCACGCATGCCACACACCCTACCCTGCTAGCGGGCGAGCGCGCGCCGGTCGCTGACGCAAGCCTGGCGACCAGAGCCAATGAGATGCTGCTACGTCACTGCGTACGAGTCGGCCAGGGCGCACAGCGGGCCGCAAAAGGGCGGAGCGAGTTCGGTTGCACCAACACCGGTACATAGGCGCGGACCGGCGTGTCCTTGGACTTAGAGAGCGGGACGTCCGGCTTGCGAGTGGGAACCTTCGTGTGGCGCGCGACGCGAGAGCGGTGAGCGTAGGGCACCGAGTACACGGCAGGCGGAGGCCGATCCACGGGGGCGCGCGGGCGGTTGGGGGCCTGCGCCTGGGATCTCTGGGTGGAGCCCACGGGGGCCGGCCCGGCGTTAGGACCCTGCACTGTGGCCCGTCTGAACCCGGTGGGCTACGGCTCGAGGTGGGGTAGGGGGAACCCCAGCCGAGTAGGTCACGGCCCTGAGACCACCGAGGTGGCTTGGAAGCGGAACCGGCTGAACGCGGCCCTCGGGTTGTCCGGGCCGAGGGCCGTGGACATGATAGCTGAGGCTTCCCGGGCTGAGGGCGGCCGCGGGAGGGCGGGAGCGGGAGGGCGGTGCGCGGCGCCCCGCGTTCTCCTTCAGAGGCGGCAGAAACGGCTGCTGCTCCGATAACGGGTAATTTTTTTCTGACCACCTGTCGCTTTTCCCCTTAACCTGCTAAGGCGTCTCGGGAAGTCCTGGTCACAGTCTCCTTGAGAGCGGCCTGGGTGGGTGACCTCGTGGTCGCCCCAGGGAGCCCAGAGCTGGGGAAGGGGGTCCCCGGGAGACCTCGCAGCCCACACTGAGCCCTCGCCCACCGCAGGGCGGTGTGGAGCGACCCGCGCAGGCCGGTCAGCCGCGACCTCATTTCCTAATGTGCTTTGCCTCATCTTTCGGGAGAGCTATGGCTTTAAGTCGCAGCGTGAATAAATAGGCATTCTTAGCTGAAATTTCTGCGATTTTTGGCTTAATGTCCCCATCCTCAAACTTAATCAGATTTGTGACTCTGTGACCTTGACCTTATCTTTGGAAACAGTTTCCAACTAGGTTCCCGTTTTGCTCACTTAAACATGGATGTGTTTTTTAAGTAAGTTCTTCCGAATAGCCTTTTTGGTATTAAAGCGTTTATGGCAAGTATACTGAGTAAAATAGGATCGATCCTGGTACTTAATGTCACAGGTTTGCAATGGATTGGTGATTAAGCGATCATTGATTGGTTTCCACTATGTTTTTACTTGGAGGAAAGACTTAATAAATTGAATTTTATTTTTAGATTTAAAAATGGGTGATGTTGAGAAAGGCAAGAAGATTTTTGTTCAGAAGTGTGCCCAGTGCCATACTGTGGAAAAGGGAGGCAAGCACAAGACTGGGCCAAATCTCCATGGTCTGTTTGGGCGAAAGACAGGTCAGGCCCCTGGATTTTCTTACACCGATGCCAACAAGAACAAAGGTAAGAGACAGACAATTAAATAACCAAAGCACAAATTCCATGACTGTGACTTGTAGTAAACCCTTGATCAGGAGTGTAAAATAGTTAACAATGCATCTCTTCTTATTTNGAAAGACAGGTCAGGCCCCTGGGTTTTCTTACACCGATGCCAACAAGAACAAAGGCATCACCTGGGGAGAGGCTACACTGATGGAGTATTTGGAGAATCCCAAGAAGTATATCCCTGGAACAAAAATGATCTTCGCCAGCATTAAGAAGAGTGCAGAAAGGGCAGACTTGATAGCTTATCTCAAAAAAGCCACTAATGAGTAATAGTTGGCCACTGCCTTATTTATTACAAATGTCTCATGACTTTTTTATGTGTACCATATTTAAATTGATCTCATACACCAGAATTCAGATCATGAATGAACGGCTGAGAGAGCGTTTCTTTTGGGCAGTCCTGATTTAAATAGATTGGCTTGTGGTTAAATGAACATGGTCAGCTTTTTGAACTTTGATGGTAATATCACTGATCTCCCCTTCTAAAAATATAATTGGTCTTGATTTGTAAGGTTCAACTTTTCACAGAGATGGTGAGTGCCACCTCAAAACCTGTAGGAGCTTGGTTTTATATTTAGATTTATAGAATTGGTTGTATTAATATGTTTAAATACTGAGGAAATCTCTTAACTGTCTCTTAGACCAGCAAGACTGACTTATGTTTCAAGTTGTGTTCATTAGCCTGTTAAAAGGCAAGGGCTGAAGATAAGCTGGCAGTGTCCATTTTATCTTTTTGGTCCTAACTATGCCAATTTAATTAAAATTCCCTGTACCTAAACTGTTGCCTTTTACTGAATGAAAGGCATTTTAGTGTGGTTTCTGTATAATATCAAATAAAGAGTATTTAACACCTCACATTTTATAGAGGATCTATAAGATCAGATGCTTTTAAAATTCAGCATGACAAGATAAAGTAGCAAACTTCGTGAATTCTTTAAGTCAAACTAAGTTATAATTCAAGATTGTCTTAAACAGCTCTTCAGAAGCAACTGTAGAATTGCTATATTTGTGTGATTGGTATTGGTGCTTTTGCCAGCTCACTAGAAGAATTAAAGTAGAGAGGAGAACCAGATCATCAACACAAAATTGTAAATTATGTGATCATAAGCTGAAGATAATTAAAAACAAAATCACAGATCCTGATTTTTCTAATGTGCTTGATTTAATGCCTGATGCCCAAATTTTAATGTTTGAAAAGTACAATAGTCCTAAGTATTGATGCAGCAGTGTTACTAGTAATACTATTAGGTTATATTTACTTGCCCACTAGGACATCCTGAACTAGAACAATACTTAAATAATTCATCCTTAAGAGTTCTTTGGCCAGTGTGAACCCTGCAGCATTTAAGTCCTAGTGTGAGTGTTAATGGTAGGGAATTTTAAAATGCATCCTTGGAAATCTTTCAGAAGTAAAGTCTTTGTAATAGGACTTGTTAACTCTGTAAGTAAGTGATAATCAGAGACAGTTTAGCAATTTAGCTTCTAAGAGACAGTTCTGGACCCATATGGAAGGACATGGAGGCCAGGGAGTTTATCTATTTCTGAAGTGCCTCCTACATCAACTAAGGCCTGGGTTGGCAAAGATAATTACTGAATACCTGCTGTGTTCTAGGCCAGTTATACTTAGTAAGTGCCTCTGGTCATTTACAATGTAAGTAATCCTAATACATTCAAAAGAAGGGCCATTCCCAGCTGTAAGGGCTATATGCTCTTAGAAATAAAGAAAAGACAAAGTCTAGCACTGTATTACCCATATGCTTTCATTCCTAGTGCTTCCTCAAAGGTGGCTTGGTGAATGGTATCCAAAGTGAGCCCAATGTTTTTAAAGGACTTTTTTCCAAGTACCACCTATAAGTGCTCTTTTTTAGAACAGCACAGTGTGATAGACCTTTCTGTGATGATGAATTGGACTTATGTCCAGTATTGTAGGTAGTGCCTTACAGAGGCCTTACCAGGGCTGGTCCTCCCCAGTTCACTAGACTTAGGCTGTTTTATACCAGTCAAGCTCAGATAAGAGTAAACCAAAACCAGTTTTCATACGATAGGCAGTATTTATTTCTAGTGATGGGGTCTTTGGCTCCCCTTGGTCATATCAGAAGCCAATTATGATGTTGCTGAGCCTGGAATAAGAGTGGCTAATTATAACACCTTGCTGGCCAGTCACGAGTATACACACATTTCCGTGTCTGAACATTGCTAACCGGTCACGAGTATTCAAATGCGGAAAAGGAGCTGGCCGCACAGGTGAGTTCTGGCTTGAAATAGCTGGTCAACAAGGTGTTGAAGTATAGTTCATACAAGCAAGGCTGGTGCCTGATACCTCTACAGTGACCTGGAAGTTTGCCTCCCAGAGAATCTCCGCTAGGCAGTTGGGTACACACTGAACTGCCTCTGGCTACATTCTTTGTGCCCAAGACTGACTATTGTCCGGTGCTTACATACTTAGAGTATAATAAAAGTACTAGGTTTCCACTTGCTTAATAACAGTTGGATTCTAAGTAACCTTATTTGGATTTTGTGGTGTTTGAAAACTGATCATACCGTCAGGCTGTCTTGGTTCCCTCAGAAAGATAAACAGATTTATTGTTTTTCTAAGAGTAGGCATATATCTGGGTTCTTAGAAGGAACTTCACTGGTAGTCCCCCTATGTATCACCAACAAAACATAGCTTTCTATACATAGAAATACACAAGGGCAAGAGGACCAGTGTACAGTAATTGATACATCATTGACAGTTTTTAGAAATGCAAGACATGGGCTGACTTGCTAGAGGTTTGGTAAATGAGATATTTTAATCACATTAGACTAATCCCAGAATGTTGGAACTGGAAGAGACTTTAAAGTTTCTTACAATCCAGCTGTGCTCTTACACAGATGAGAGGTGAAATTAACCCGAGCTAGGCTCAGGGAACTATGAGAACTACTTGCTTTCTGTTAGCCTGGGCCACTGACAGGACCTGGTTGTCCAACCTAACAATTCCCTGGGAAGAGGGAAATATGCATAAGGCAGAGGGATAGGTTTAGCCCAGTCCCCTAACATCCTGCCCTGACATCTAAAGCCTTCCTCCAGAGGGGTGAGGCGAGTGGTGAACAGGAGTTCAGCTGCCTGGGGTGGAACATAGCCCTTCCCCCTTCCTTTCCCCATGTTGTGAGAAGACATTGTACCTGGGAGTCTGTTCTTTGGAGGGTGCTATGCCCCACTGACCTGGTTATAGGGCCCTTAGTTGCGGGAGGGGAGCCATGCCACTCTTTTTCCATACCTCTGGATTTTGCACTCTTAACACCAATAAAGGATGTCTAAATTGAAAAAAATCTCTAGTGTTTGAGCAACACAGCTGAAACCACAACAAAATACCCTGACTGCTATTCAGTCTGTCTAAATCCGCTTCTCCCAGACATTAATGACCCTCCTTTCTGCTCTTCTGTTCACTAGAAATGCAGCTGTGTTTCACATTGGTGCTACTAAATGTGTCTAGCTTGAGTGTACCTCAAAAAAGGACCATTGGACTAAACTGTATTTGGTGCAATGCAGAGAATGCTGTGTTTAGAGTTACAAAAATCATTTTTAGAGTAGGGGTTGGTAAAAAGCCTGTGGGCCCAACCTGGTCAGGCACCTGTTTTGGTAAAGAACACTTTATTGGAACACTGCCACATTCATGCATGTCTTCTCTAAGGCTCCTTTTTTTTTTTTAATTTTCACCTGAGTATATTTTTTCTATTGCTTTTCAGAAAGAGTGGGAGGGAAAAAGAGAAACAGATGTGAGAGAGACACATAGATTGGTTGCTTCATGCTCAAACCCCAACCAGAGCCAGGGATCTACCCTGCAACCAAGGTACATGCCCTTGACGGAATCAAGCCGGGGACCCTTCAGTCCACTGGCTGACGCTCTAAATACTGAACCAAACCAGCTAGGGCTAGGGCTGCTTTCATCAGAGCTGAGTAGTTGCTACAGACTGTATGACCCACAAAGCCTAATACACTGACTCACTTCACAGAATAGGTCCTCCACCTCTGGTTCACGGTATATCTTCGCACAATCTTGCTTTTGCCATCTGGAGAATAGAAATAATATGTACCTCGTAAGATTGCTGTGGAACATTCATTAACGTCTGTGAAAGCTCTTAACTGTTGGCACTGGCATATTTGTACATTTTATATCCAGGTCAAATTCCTTGAAAACCACGTATAAATTACTGCTCCCGTGGTGAGCAGTAGCCTGCCATCTAGTATTCTTTTTTATTCTCAAGTGTCTGATGCTCTCTAGGACCTTTGACATCCTTGACTAATTTTTTTCACCACCCTCAGTTTAAGTTAGTTTCACGCATGGAATAAAATACATCGGCATCATAAAATCTTCATGTATGTAGAGCTGTAATCATTGTTGGTAACCCAATTACATAATTCAGCATGACATCTGCCCAAATTCTAGTCGCATAACTCAAATTGCTTTATAGTGACGAGCTGCACTCACGTCTCAATTTACCCTTACTACCTATAAGTTATGTGGAACAGGTACAGTAAGTCCTTCATCGATAAGTTCTGCAACTAGCAAAATAACATATAACAAAACACTTTTACCCTAGATTGCTTGATATAAGTAAGAGTGAATTTCTCATGGCACCTCATTCTAACAAAATGGTGTTATTCAGGGATCTGCCATGCTGTCCCTATTTTACACCCAAGTAAACAGGCTCAGAGAGGTGGTTCCAGCCAAAGGCTGCACAAGAGCATTACTTGGGAGTGTCACAAGTACTGGCCCTGCCTTTCCGCAGTGCCTTCTAAAACTCCATGTAAGCCGGCTCATCTCTCCTTGCCTCTTTACAGAACTGTGTCTTTTCCTACTAGAAGCAGCTTTCTCCACGCCTCCGCCTCTGCAGCCCTCCCAGGTGGAGCCTGCTTGTTCTACACCGTCCACAGCAGAGGCCCTGTGGTCTTGGCGTCGTCAAGATCATTACTCTTCCTCTCTCAGGCTGAACTACCTGTGTGAGATTCATGACATGTTCATGGGCCCTTTGCTGTTTGTACTTGGGCACCTTCGGCATGCACTGAGAACTTCAGCACTTACCTTATATACTTCATTCTGACTTTTTTCCTTTAAATTATAATGGTAACAGCTACATACAAGTGAATGAATGACCCACCCTTAATGTCACTGTAGCCTCAAACTTTGCTTCAGAACCTCCCTACCTCTGAAATGAGAAATCCCGCTGCACCAATCTGATCAGGACCTCATCACTCCACATCTCCCTTTCTTGTTTCTATCACTGATTCAACTGAACCAGCAGACACACTGTGCAACTGTCCTTTTATATATTCCTCCCCGTCTTTCTCATGGTTAATTGCATTCATCATGCCCCTCAAGCT